AAAAATTTATTCAATCGGGCACAACAAAAATCGAAAATTTGAAAACATGAGTTACAACGCTTCTACCACACACCTGGCGGCGAGTAAAAAATAGACTTGGACAACCCGTTATGTCCACCCTGGCTACTCTCTCCCCATTTGACCTTTTCCGGCAGCTCCACCCTATACGTTACATACGGCCTATTTGGCCATTATTATGCAAAATCTGCTTCTTTATTAATTTCAGAAAAGGCGTGGACAGTTTCACGTGTTTTTTTTTTCAATGCAGGCGTTCAACTTTTGTTCAATCTCTGACCAATGGGCTCCCTTCTTTCTCGTAGAATTTGTATATGAAGGACTCAATAAATTTTGGTGTCACAAAAAATTAAAATATATAAAATTTTAAGTAGTAAATAATATTTTGATAAATATTCAAACAATTAGGTTAAAAAATATATATTTTTGTGTAAAATGACTATCTTGACCAACTCACGAAGATAATAACGGTTAGTTCATCCATTTTTTGACAATAATTTTCTACACATATTTTGAAATATTTTTGAGGGGTAGCTATCTAATATAATCATCGTAATAACATATTTTTCAAAACGGCCTTTCTTCTTCTGGCCTCTCATCAAAAACTCCTCTGAAATATCACCGTCTGTTGATGATTTCCTTTTTCATTTCGTATTTTTCTCTTTTTAATGTAAAATCTTTCTCTTCATTTTTTCTGTTCTTTTTTCTTGCTTGGACCGGCTCTTCCAAAAATCTGAGAGATGTTCGCACTAAATATAGCAAAAAGTTCAAGGCAATTATGAAACTTTTTATACGGCAACCTAGGTAATTTACATTACATTATAATATAATTTCATAGAGACATGAAATAAAGATTAGCAAGAGCAAAGACCAAAAATTTCAATGGTAAGTCAAAAAGCAATTTTAACATTATTGGCAGAATGCAAGTTCTAAGAAAAATTAAGAAGATACAAGGGTTACCTGAAAAGCTTCCGACCAACAAGACATTTTTTCTCCCAGGGATGGTTCCATACCTCTAACCTGTCCAAATGGTACCCAGCCTTTTTATCCGCAAAATAATTGTTCACGAAGGTGATTGCCTCCTCATTTGACTAAAGTCTTTTTCCTCCGAGAGCAGTTTTCAGAAAAAGGAACCCAAAGAAGTCGCTTGGAGCTAGATCTGGTGAGTAAGGCAGATGGTTAAGCAGTTCAAACTGTAATTCGTGGATTTTCGCCACGGCAACCGCTGAGGTATCATTGAAACAGGATTTTTCTTTTCCAAATGTAGCCATTTTTCCGCAATTGCCGTCAAATAATGATATGTAGTGTGCTGCTGTAATGGTTTTTTTCCTTTTGAAGGTAGATACATCGCAAAAAACAGTCGCTATAACTTTCCCAGCCGAAAAAACAGTTTTTACTGTTTTCGCAGTCCACTGGTTTGACTGCATTTTTGACTTGAGCGTATAATGGTGTATCCAAGTTTCGTCTACAGTAATTAATCGGCGCCAAAAGTCGGATCTGCGCCTTGGAAAAGTTCATTCCAAAACGTTTTTGGTCTAATGTGAGTTAGCGCAGCACTCAACGCGCAAACAGCTTTCTCATGACTCAATCTTGATTTAAAATCTAACAAACATATTTCTCTCACTTTAATTCGATGGTCGTATAACACTATTTGATGAACTTGAGCAATATTATTGTCATAGTTACAGTTTTTAGACGACGTTTAAATTCAACTGCCCAAAATTCTCCATACATAGAATCCAACTCAACTTTAATTTGCCTAGGCGTATTGCCAAAAACAAATATTTTATAACAGCTCTATAATCAATTTTTTCCATTTTCACGAAAACACTCACACCGACTGACTCAAACGACTCTCAACTAAAAAACACGTGTCCAAAATGACTGAAACATTGGTAAGTAACTATCAAGAGGTACAAGGATCGCTGGCTTTTAGTAACTAGTGCCGCCATCTTCAGGGTGAGGTCGGGAACTTTTCAAGTAACCCTCGCATATGCGACATGTACAAAACAGATGGTTAAAAACTAACAATTCAACTATTTAGAGATATTGAAAATCTCCTCGACTGGACTCTTCATACCTTATGAAATTACAATATATCTGCCCATTTTAATTATTGTAGTGTGTTTAAAATTTTAAGTGAAAGTATGTCACAACTTAGCTCCGAAGTGAGATTATTTTTTTTAATATAGTAAACATTATAAATTATAAATTAAATATAAATTCGCCGAACCGAAATAAAAATATATAATTTTTAATTAATAATATATAATTAATATATAATATATAATTTTGTATCCGTTAATAATGGGCGAGTGCAAATTTGCTGTTGCCTCAATCCGTCAGGCAACGCTCCAACAATTAAGTCCTTTATTAATTCAGTGAAAGGCGCATTCGGTGCGAACTAACAAGAGTGTTAACTTCTACCACCCTTTCGAACACGTCGGATGACAAATTACTGAGATATTAAAACTCATCTACCCTTTATGATGCGACTGCATGAACCAGGTGATGCCCCTCCGTTACGAATCTAGTCATTTTTAAAGGGTTTGCAGTTGTCGGGATTTTAATAAAAAAGTAAATGAACGACATAAATCTTATTCGAAGTTATACGGCAGTGGCAATTAGCCCTGTTATTAAGATGCAATATAAAATAGAAATAGAAAAAAAAAAACAAATAAATTTAGCTTGATAGATCAGTAACGCCTAAACATTTAATGCGTTTCGTCTAAATTTGATAAGGTTCCAACAACCAACAACGCAAACATAAACATATTTAAAAACGCCTTTGTTATTTTGATGTTGTTTAAGTTGAAATAACGTTTTCGGTATTTTAGTCATGGGTTCGGAAGCAATCGGATGTTTTAGGTAAATTTTGGTAGTGGTATTTCAGCGTCAATTCTCGTCACACGTCACTCAGCTTAACACGTTGATAAACTTCTTTAGTCACTAGATTAAGCAAACCAAAACCAACCAAAACAAACTCGTTACTGAAGAGGTGTTTATCCTACTTGTTGCATAATATACCCCTATTGAAGTGTCACCAAGAAAACAATTTACTTTTAAATATTAAATTGCTTTTTTCTACTCCCGTCTGTAAAATGCCTAATTGCACAGCGATCTAGCGCGCGGGAAGCGTCACTTTACCACGTCAGTTTCGTTTTCCACGGATCCGAGCCACTTCGGATATTTCCGGGATTTTACCGCACGGGTTTGAGAGCAATCGGATGTTTTCGGAGATATTTCCCAGGCCTTGAATTTTGACGTTTGTCAATTCTCACGGCCATGTCAGCGAATGTATTTGTAGTGTTTTGCGAGAATGTACCCAAAAACTAACGGTCGGAGAAAAAGTGTTGTATGCAACACGTTCGGTAAACTTTTTAAGTCATTCGTTTGTTAAACACTCGCTCCGCTCGTGTCAAATAAACTCGTGAGTCAAATGCCGTTTACCGCACTTGTTGCATAATCTATTATTACTCGGAATTGTTTCATTACAAACATAAAAAACAATTTGCATGGATTTCAAAAGAAATATTGTGGAAATTTAGAAATTAATAATTATAAAATAAAAGTCAATTATATTTCAAATTACTACCTGCACTCCTAGTGGACTCAGCAAGAGTAATTGAAAAATAAATTTTATGTTCTGATATTATAACAAATGTCTGCAGATCAATATTGCTGGATCGTATGATTAAATTTTGTTGCACACTATATCAACAAACACGAAATCTATGACTATTATACTTATATTCACTATATATTTTTATACTTTAGCTTCGGTATATTTCATCAATTATTTTAACTCCGGTCCTGGACACACCTAACTTTGCCGGAAAAAATATTGCTATAGATGGCAAGTAAAATTGGGAATGGTTGCATTTTCATATCAAGTTCATGTTTGCATTGTATTTTTAAAATTGATATTGTTCGTTTGGTTTATTTCACGCTTCAGCGCTTTTATAGATTAATCTGAAAGTTCAAAATATATTGAATTGAAGAAATATTGAATTACAATTGTGTTGATAATAATTTTGGGTGCAAAAATTTGTTGTTTAAGTTATCGCTTTCTGCAGTAGACTCACTTAAAATTACATGTTTTGCTTTTAATAATTAATTAATAATTCGGCTTCTAGAAAACTCCGGTTTTGGATTTTATGGTTAGATGTAGCTCTTGCGTCGTTTTCCACAAGCCGTGCACCACAAAAAATTATAACAGTGCCTCTAATAATGCTTTCTAGTTGCTTATACAGGTAGAATGAGCTGGTCAGAAGTTCATGTAAACAGTAATTAGAAACTGTTCAACGTCGTCGCATTTGTTTGAAACTTTAGCTGTTTCAGAGTACATCTGCATGAGAATAGCCAAACGTCTGTTGCAAATATTACATTATTTTGCCCTGAATCATCTGGAAATACGGTTGAACTCATATAATCCTCTCTGCTAAATGTTCAACATCAATGAGGATTATTTAAGGAGAAAACATACAGTGAAAGACGATAAATTATTAATGAGGAGTATTTTTATTTTATTGACAGCCCCGCAGTAAGTAAAATACATTTCATTAAACATCAACATTCTGCTCCAAGCGTTTTTATTGTACGGACCTGACGTTCAATTATAATTTCCTAGAAAATCCATTCTTCAAAAGTTACTCTTAACGGAATTTTCAAGGTGAATTTCATTCTAACGACGGAAAATTTCAGCTATTACCAATATATATAAAAAAAACGATTAAAAAACAGGTTATCGATTTTAGAAAATTAAAGACTAATTACTTTGTTATATAGCTACCCATGCGTGACGTGTAAAACAAAAAGGATAAGCCCCATATGCATATGCAATATATGGAATTACACGATGTAACCAATAATTTTAAACTATAAATTATTATTTATTAGAGATGTAAATCAAATTTTAAAAAGTTCATTTTTTTATTACCTAATATCGTTAATCAATCAAGACTATCAAATAATTTACGACTTACTTTACCGGATTCTTTTTCGAAGTCGCATTCAGACCTTTGGCCAGTAGAAGGTGGAGCAAACACTAGCTGCAAATTGGTGCCCGTCGAGGCAAAGGCGATCTCTGTGTGACCTTCTCGACATGCTCTTTGAAACCTCAATGTTCTTTCTTCTTGTGGCCTGTCCCTGCATCCAGTAAAACGCACCTATAAATGAATGCACCAAATCAAAACACGAGCGAACTGACAAGAGGTTCAAAATTCAGCTGGAAAGAAACTGCAAACTGCTAGATAGATCGCGGTATGGAATATCCATGTTTAAAAAACAGTTCAATGGGGAACAAAAAAGTAACTGGCCAAAAAAAATTTTTGGGGACAAACACGGAAACAAAATCAGAAAGGTTTTTTTCCTCTATATACCTCACTCTCTCGGCTGAGTCGTCGGAACAATTCGTCACTTTCAAATTTGGACTTTTGATCTGGCACTACCCTGGGCATTTTTACAATAAATCTCTGCCTAGGCGGTTCGTACATAGAACCAAACGAAAAAATCGACGTGGAATGCATCGAAGTAATGTAATTTTTTCGCGGTTCACAATATTGACGAGTTTCCTTAGACAAGCGTTGTGCCACTTATATGTTCCGATTGATACTGAATCCCTGCCACTGTTTTCGTTTTTCGTTTAGCTCGAGCAAGAGGGACTGAAATGGGAGTGGCTTACCATGCCTTTTGGCCAATGAAGCACAGCTTAAGGGTACCCCGGTTCGAGTTAAATGAAGCTTAAGGGGACCGTCGAATTGACATTTTTCTGCAACGGAATACTTCACTTTTCTTTTGGGACGTCAGTTAATGAAATCTTAAGAAACTTAAATCTATTTTAATAGAGCAACATTAAGAACACACTGTTATTTAAAATTTAGAATAGGATATTTTATTACAACATTAGTTTTGTCGTATTAAGTTTGAAGTTCTTAGTTTTCTATGATAAATTCCACCAGGAGTTTATTCGTATCAAAGTATCAAAGGTAAGTTCGACAAAAGTGGCAGACTACCGGTAAATTTATACCCTAGCTACGTTATATCCAAAGTTCCTAGAGTTATATCTAGGATTTTTTGCTTTCGCCTAAAAATTACGCCAAGCTTTTTTAGTCAATAAATTAATTAAAATATAATCTATGAAGAACCAAAACATAAATACCGGGTGGCGCAAAGATCAATGGATTTAAGGAGCTCTATCTCTCTGAAATACGGAATATTGCCGCTTCTACATAAAAGTGGCAACATCTTGTTTAGTTTAAATGGCACCCCTGTATATCATTTCATTTTTTGATTCTACTCAAAAAACAAAGTAAATTTTGTTCAGGCTGTCTTACCGTTATCAAAATAAAAAATAATTTCCAAATTTTATAAACAATTTGGACCCTTGAAGTGAAGAAATCTTAGTTCGGTGATTTTTTTTCGAATTTTTCCAAACAGTTAGTGAAAGGGCGTTCTTTCCTGGGATAGCATTTTAGACCTATAATCTTACCATATTTAAAGTAAAAATTAATTTTTATGATTTTTACCTAGTATCAACGTTGAACACAGAATAAACTTCGTAAAACCTCTTTCCAACTATTCCTTCCTTTTTTGGTCTCCGTTTTAATGATAATAACCTAATAAAATTTAATGAAGTAGGATCATTTAAATTGTTAATCTGTTCACAAAGAAAGCTTTGCACGAAGAAATCTTGTGTTTTAGTTGATTGATTATTGACTCTCCATCTAGATGGTTGGAAAGAAACTAAAATTAAACGAAAATAAGGTTATACAAAGTTCATTCTACCTATATGCGAAGCTTTCTTCAAAATGACAATATTCAATGTTGACATGACGTAAGAATCATAAAAAAAATATTTCTATTTCAAAAACTGTAACAAATAGGTATAGGGAAACTTGAAGAAAATTGGGTTAGTTTCTTCTAAAAAATTCGTAAAAAAAACTAAAATGATATACCAGGAAAGAGTGTCTCAGCCCTTCTAAGCACTGCCAGCAAATGTTTGATTTTATATTTAATTAAAACGGAACTATTAAGATTTCTTCAAGGATAAAAATTGCTTAAAAATATAGGAAATTATGTTTTTTTTTGATAACGGGAAGACATACCGTGAAGACATTTCTTGCATAGAATCTAAAAGTGAAATGATATACAGAGGAAGCTATTAACTAAGCAAGGTGTTGCCACCTTTATATAGAAGCGGCAAAACTGCATTCTTGAAAATATCTTAGAGAGATAGAGTCCTTCCTAACAATTTAAAATAAATCTAACCAAATAAAGTAACTACATAAACTAGGCCACAGACTACTTTTTGAGGTGTTTCAAAATTGAGTATGTTCCTCTGGCGCTATATATAAGACAACTCATCTGAATACTGCAAATCTCATTGAAATTGATTGTTCTGTTAGACTTGACCAAACATTTGAAAAAGCGTTTTTTTGTGATTTTTTATAGTTTTCAGCGTATTATGCTCAGTTTTTAATCATTAAAAGTAAAACCTAGTGGCCTTACCCGTTTTGATAATTGTCAAGTATCCCGAGAGTGGCAGGTAGAAGGACAGGTGATCGATTTGTGTCTTACTGTTTAACATTAGAATTATAGTTAATTTCCGGCAGTTGTTGACAACGTTCATTCTTGCAAAAACAGTTGAAATGTGTACGAATGTAACTGGAGTTGGATAGTCTTCTTATAAACTTGGATATTTAGATACAGTGTGAATTTGGAAATACAGGTAAAAACTGATCTAGTCTTTTGGAACTCACAAATTTGGATATTATATTTTCTAAGTTTGTATATTTTTTTAATGGACCACGCTGTATATCTTTTAATAATTCAATTAGGTTTATTATTCAACCAATGTGTTTTTATTTTTTTTATGAATAAACCATGGAAAATACAGATTTTTTCAGATAAGTTAGTTATTTATTACATATTTTTTCGCTGAGCCATAGCAGAAGAAAGAGAAGACATAAATTAAACTAATAATTACGAACTGTCACCACTGTTTGACAACTACTTATAAAAAAAAAACAAAATTAAAGATATCTGATTTGTATTTGCAATTACCACAATCAAAAATAGGTAATCTTAGATCACTTACTTTTTGAATTGCTTGCATTAGCCTGAAAGCATTGTTGCAACCAGACCACCGGGTGCTGGATAATATATAAATAGGTAGCTATAACATGCATAATGTCTTTTTGACGCCACGAAAATTAGGAATTATCGTATTACGTCGCGACGCCGGAGATCCTATTAAATTACCTTTAACGGCCATTAAAGCGTTACTTTATAAACACTAGCTTTTTCAACTTCAGCCGACTAAAACCATCATAAAATCGACGTAGGTGGGTTTACGCATTATTTTCAAAGACGTTAACGCACGAGGCGTATATTATAGCTCCTATAATATTTCCCTAATTGCAGGGTAGAAGCCGAATGTACTGGATCCTAACTTTGAAACTAGGCGTACCTCTCGGTACACCCTAAACAAAATTTTAGTATGATTTATGATGATCAAAAACGGACTGCTCCTATCACATAGCATTTTCAGATTCTAACAGATGATACGTTATAATAGTAAATTTGCCAACCAAAAAGTAGGTACGTGAATTTACAAAAAGATGTTTAGCGGTGAGCAACATCGCGGTTCCACCTCGCTGACTGGATAGGTGGTTGTCGGTGTTACACTTGGAAAGTCATTTTCAACATCATTTTGTCATTTCGTGTCATTTAAAAAACCAATCCAAATTTACAGCATGCTCAAATCATTTAAAGAACACCAAAACTTCCCTCTGATCGTGGCAGGAACTTCCTACGCAGTTCTGGCATCAGTAAGTGCTTTCTGCTGGTACTTTTATTACACCCAGATAGTCAGAGGCGATTTCTGGCACTACGCCTTCATAACATACAGCGTTATGTTTCTGAACGGATTGTCCGGATTTACAGAATTCAGTAAGTCCTGACGATTTTCTTTTGTCGTATATTTCCTATAGCTGCGAAAGTTCTTTTAGTACACGAAGATTCGTTCTGGGCTCTACGGGATCTTCTCGACTATGCACAGCTAGTTCTCACATTGCCGTGCTATGCAGCAGAGGTGTGGATAAAAAATGAAGTTGGTCCTCAAGAACTTGCACTGCTTCACGCTGCGTTTGGATTTTTGGCTCTCGCAGTGTTTATCTTTCTGGAATACAAGCGGCAAGATCTGACCGATTTAGCAGTGTTCTCCAATTTATTATCTATGCTGGTTGTCGCTGCAGTTTACGAGGACCCACTAGCAGGATTTGCGGCGACTGTTTTCGCTGTCGGCTACTGTCTGTTAAAGAGATCATGTAACCAGTGTTGTCTGGCGCTTCAGGACAGATTTAATTTCCTAATGGCAGGATTTGCGGTAGTGTCTCTGGTATCGTTCGATCCGGCTTTGATTCAAGATTTCCGGAGTAAATTTCCTGCCATTTTGGGTTCCGGTTGAACTAGCAAATGACTCTTGGGTGTAATACTGTATCTACATGTAAGCTTAACAAAAATGTACACTGGAATTGCTAATTCAGTTGATGCAATCGTATATAACATGTATTTTCCTATTTTCGAGTTTAATTTATTGTTATTTTAATAACATTGTACGATATGAATAGGGAGATTTGCTGCTACGCCATAGAACAATTGAATAGTGGCAAAACCTTACTCAATTTATTACCGTAGTCCTACTTACTCGAAATTAACTTGCTGAATTTTCAATGTTTCAAAATGCGATAATTTTTCGGTAACGTTATCATTATTATTTTGAGACCTCTGTGTAATTCCATATAGAAACTGTCAGCATAATTTAAACAAAAAATTGCGTATTTGTTTTTAGTAGTACTATTTTGGCAGTCACATATAGCTAACTTGTAAAAATGGGCCAATTAAGCTTCAGTAATGACCCAATTACATTTGCCTGTTTATCTAACCTTTCTACATTTCCATATTTTTATTTATTTATTAGTGTGTTTGTGAGATTTTGCGATATGTCAAAAAGCTTCGATTATTTAAAATTTTGAATATTGCCTGAGTCCACACCTTCCCAAACCTTATAACTTTTGCAGTAAGAAAATACATATCTTGCTTACAAGCTCGACGATGATTAAAAGTTTTAGGCAGTCATTTGTCTCTAAAAAAACACACAATTTGGAAAAAACTGATTAAAAATTAGATAGCTGCTATCAGCAGCACCAGGACAACAAACTTTCCGTCGTGCTCATTTATTATTCGACAATCGATTATTTTGTAATTCGGTTTGTTCAATCCAAGAAGATACAACTAATCAAATCCAATTACTCAGCTGCACATTATTTAAAACTGCAGATAATGTTAGATAGGACCTTTATGAGTCCAACTTTTGCCCGTATTGTTGTTTTTCTTTTCAACCCGTCTCTCAGGTTTATCAGCATGACAAACTTAATTTTAAATTACCTCCTTTAATTATTTGTACTTCGTAAGCAACCAATAGAAATAACCTCTCTATTAAATTGTTCGCCGTGCCTTAAAAAGACAAACAAGAAATAATTTTACTCAATGCTTCCCGGTCCACTCGTGATCCTTACAACCACGAATATTATTATGAACTTTCTAAAGGATAAGATGTGTTGTTGTGGTGTAAGTGTTGCTCATCTGTTGCCAACGGAAGAGGAGCTTCGCAAGATGTACAAGGAATCTGACGTGGATTTTCCAGAATGTGGTTCAAATTCGTCCACGATCTCAAACACGGAAGCTAATTTAATTAAAGTACCAAACGGTGGAGAAATAAATATTCCCTCCAAAGATTTTTTGAAAAATTCTCGATATAATGCGGAGAATATTGGAGTCAATCTACGCATTTTGCAAGGTAAGATAATTTCATTCAAGGGTATGGTGCAATTTCGTTCCTTTATATCTCCTTCAAAAAAACTTAATAAAAAATATATTAAAAATCGAGCCTATTACATATTTTTTGTTGACTTTTTTATTTTGTAATTAAATTGGATACTATATATAGGTAATTGCGTCTAAGGAAAGGACACAACTTAATTAGGATTGATTAAATTAGAGCAATTCAAGACACAGCCTCGTTTAACTTAATAAATTAAATGTAATTAATATCCTTATGCAACTAAATTGAAAATCATTAAACACCTGAGTTAATATATTAAACAATGAACAATATACATAAAATATACATTCATATTCAAACTTTTAATATAAAAATAGACAATACAACAATGATATGCCTGCTAAACCCAAGTTATTCGAAAAATATAGCCATTTATTAAAAGAAAGTATTAAATGCAATCTGAGACTGCTTTTAAAGCAAAATATGCAAAAAAGCACATGGAATAGTTGTATAAATCCTGAGTTGGTACGTCATAGTATGACCCCGGAAGGTATCCCATCACATCACGTTTAATGAAAAAGTAATTCAGTGTAAATGAAACCATAGTTGTTAGACCATAATGGTTTTGATTCGTTAAGGATATCAGTCCAAGGGAGATGCAGTTTGCTGCCAGAAACCCATCAACTACATCGATGTTGCGTGTGTTGTATAAATATGCCAGCAGCGGGAATAATGCAACCAAAGTATGCGCGTAGGCGAGCTCCAATGAATAATGGTAGTTTAACCATATATTTGTAACAATCAATGGAAGAGCCAATAAGTCTTGTAAAATTGAAGTCAATCTATACAATTTTTCTATTTTATGCCCATAGGAAGGATTGCCTAAAAAATATCTATTAAGTACCAGTAGAACATCGACAAGTTAAAATATATATACCCCATCTCCAAACGCCTAATACCGAATTTACTCCAAGAATTCCAAAAGATAAACGAGCAAATTGGAGGTTACTTTTATTCGTGAATTTTAGGCAATAGAAGGCAGTGCCCGCCAAAATTATGTGCGATAATGCTGTCGAATACCGAACCATCTTTATAAATAATAAGGGTTGTGGACATTCTAAATGGTCTAACTTTATAAACCCAATCCAAAATTAGTTTACTATAATACGATAATTATAAATTGGTTTACCTGATTGTGGGGCAAAAATTATAAAAACTAAATCTCCACTTTACAAAAAACAAAAATAGGGCAGGGGCTGTAAATGTCTACCAAAAATTTTTCAGTCACATTTGAGTATTGGATGTTTTCGTAATAACAATAGCAATCCTTGATTCAGGGCTCTTTAATCCGATATTGGAAAACATTGCCGGAATCATTGGGCCAATATCGGCAAATTTAGCATTTACTTCTTCTTTTTTGACCATAGTATACCAATTTTGGAATGGTGGCTAAGAATTTTACATCCAAATGAAACGCACAGCGCATTTTCAAATTTATCGTATTAACTCAAATGGCAATTGGCAGAAACAATATTTTTCGGTAGAATTATTGGTGGATTCATCTATAAGGCTAATAATATTAAAATCGATTAAAATGTTTTTATATTATTCTAGTATACTTCCATTATTAACAAGTGTTTGCCTATCTATCAGTCCTAAGGCACAACAGCATGCCAAAGCAGCACCCTGTTCGGCGAATTTCTTGTTTTTTTCCCTAAAAATTGAAAATATCACTTAACCATGGAGTTAAAATGCATTTCACCTTACCAATATGATGAACCATATTTTCTTCCATTTACTGTAACAATGGCTCTAAATAGCTTATCTTCATTGATGACTTGATAAGAAGGAGTTTTTAGCTTATTTTTTCCACAGTAAGTTATAAGCTTTGATTTAGGCAAATCTATATCTTCCACAAAATTGACTCGTATAAAGGCACATTTGATTTGATATATATCATTCTCTTCATCGATTTTTAACTTCTTTGGAGCAGATCTGAATAAATCTGGAGTAATTTCCCGTCTACCGAGCAAACCCTTTGATTGATACTCTAGCTGCTTCTTTCTGCAATAGCTTCCTAAACCCCATATAGAACTATACAAAAGAATCACACAAAATTAAACTTCTACACGCAATGTGCAATTAAGATTACCATATTTGTTCTAAAGTCTGACACTCTAAAAACTTTTTTCCCCTTGGAGTTTCTTGCAGTTCCTTGAGCATATTTTGAACACAATACTTTGTGTTACTGGGTGAATTGTCATAGTCAATAGCGTATTTTAAATAATGTAAAATAACTGTCTCCAGATCTTTTAAGCCATTTTTACAAAATATTGAACAGTTTCCCTCTGCGGCTCTGGCAATCATCACGCTACTGCTACCACATTCATTTTTAAATTTTAAAATGTCAGAATACTTCTCAATTTCTCTAGACCCTCCACTGAAAATTAAAATGACTTTCCAAAATCCAAATAAAAAAATACTTACTTTGCAATGACGGGTATCCTGATTGCTTTGGCAACAGCGTTTATTATATAGTTCCGGTTGGGGTGCATTGGTCTTTCAGCTTTTGTCCTTCCATGAATTGCAATCGCAGATATACCTGTTGAAGCTAATCTCACACTGAGATTTACTGTCTGGTCGACATCATCAAACACTCGGATTTTGCAAGTAATTGGAATTTTTACATTATCAACCAAAGTTGATAAAATTTCCACTGCTTTATCTGGCTGAGATAAGAGGGCAGCACCCATTCCACCTTTTAAGGAAAATTCCTTAGGGCAACCCATATTTATATCAATCCCAGCAACATCATTTTCACTATAAATTTTTGTAAAACAAGAATTTCTTAGAAACATTTCAAGAATTACACATACATCAATTTGGCAACTTTTAAAGCTCGTTGACTGTCGCAAGTACCTAGCTGCACCACTACTTTATTTTTTTCTTTCAAGCAAGTTCGAAATACGATTGTACCATCAGACTTGTCGATAAAATCTACAGTCTCCAAGACCTCTAACAGCTGAACATTAGCAAAAATATTAATGTTTGGAAGCGAAGTTACCATTAACTCTGCGAACGGATTTTATCAGTTTCCAATCTATTAATTCTTCAGAATATACAACATCTGCTCCATACTCAAGAGCTAACAATCTCATTGGAAGAGTTCCAACTCTTACCATTGGAGCCAATATAACTTTATTTTCATAACTTAAATGCTTCAAATCTTTCGTCATTGTAACAAATACAATGTACCATACAACCATGCATAATAAATTTTCAGGTTAAGGAACAAATGAGAATTCAATTTCTTCTTAATAAACACTTGTTTACTCAACCAGATGGGCCGTTATACCATTTTATTCTCATTATTCAGATTATTGGGAAAATGATCCAAATAAATGTTTTTAAATTATTGTAAAAAAGAAGTCTGGCGTGTTATTTAGAACTGTTAGTTGAGTAAATTGTGTTCCTGTTCATCAATTTCTTAGCGTAAAAAGTGTTTGCACTGGTAATTCTACGGTTTGGTTGGTTAGTTGGTGGCGTCGGTCTCATGCAAGAAGAGAAGAAGAATAACCTAAATTTTTGTGCAATATTGAGAAATATAATAAAAAAACGATAAAAATGACACAAACTTATTCTACCGACTGGGATATTGAAAAATACAGAGATGATACAGAGCCGGAAGAGCATTGGGAATTGCGCAAAGCTTTTATGGAGGCTCATAAAGGAAATTTTTCTGAAGAGTATTTGGTAGCACTTGCTAGAACATTTACAAACATTGAGTTCATGGGTTGCAGGTAAGCAATGTTCATTTTAGAGAAATTCTTTTGAATGCCATCACACTCTTTAGTTATCCCGCAGCTGTTATGAGAAGAATTGCTGAACTATCTAAAGATGTAGCCAAAACATATAGAGAGAACAAGAAAACTAAGTTGCAAAGAACATTTGTGTCAGCAAGTAATGCTGCAGAAAACAAAATCAGTAAGTTCAGAACTTGCCACTCACTTTAAATAATAAACACAAAACTTATGATACCTGCTACTCAATAAAGGACATTTTTCTTTTAGAGATGGAGAACTTTTGACTTTGAAAAAATAAAACAAAAAAATGTTTTAATAACCATGAATTGTGAGGGTTCATATTGCCATTACAACAGCTAACTGAGAACTTTTAATATAACAGCTAATTTAAAGTTCTCCATCTCTAAAAAAACACCATTTATATTTCAAATTTCTTTTGCAGAAAAGAGACAATCAGATCCAGGAGTTTTACCAGCTGCAAGAAATTAATGTAGCACATGTTACACTAGTTTATGGTATATATTGATGTGCTTATTTAGTTTAATGAAAAAGAAAAAATATATATTATATTTTTGATTTTTTTTACTACTTTTACTGTAGTTAGACCTATGGTTTTATTTCATCTATAATGTAATAAAACTGCATTTTACTATCAATAAATTTAATTAAATTACAAGAAATTGATCACATAAAACACATATCAGCTGCTGTTATTGCTATGTAAAGCTTCAATAGAAACACTCAACTGTTCCAGCCTTTGAATTAATTGGCTCATTGTATTTTGCGAACTTTTAAGGTTTTCATCATTTAATGATGGTGCTGTAGCTGCTCCTCCTAAATCAAAATGCAGTTTGGCTAATTTTTCTTGTTGTTCTCTAATATTTGTCATTTGTTCCATTGTGCAGTCACCTCCAAATGCCTTAAGTTTTCCAGAATGAAAATCGGCTAGCAGATCTAACAAAGCTCTTTCCATGTGTCGAACATCAGGCACTTGGGATATAAAAGAATGGTGGTGGATATCTGTTTTAGGGAGTTCTACACATGCAACAACACAACAAAAAATTAAAATGACAAGCAATAAAAATAAGACTTGTGACAGGATTAAACTTTAAGCAGTGCAACATTAATTGAAAAGATAAAAAATGGCACCAAAATTAAAGATAATCCTAACTAACCAAAACTATTTTTCAATCAGGAATATACCTTTATGAGCATTTCTTGGTCTGACAACACCAGACTTTGGAGGATCTCTTGTTAATTTTCTCTCATTAATAAAAGAAATTTTGGAACCACCCAACATAGGAGCAATATTTCCTTTGCCTGCAGATCTTGTAAATGAGCTATGACTTGTATTCGCTGATGAAGAAAACTGAAATATGAATTATTAGTATAATGTAAAATCCAATCTTTGTTTATTTACTACTTTAGTGCTTCTCATTGGTGATACTATTTTCCCTTCTGCTGTGTCTTCTTGCACTGTGCTATCATCGTTTTCTGCATCACTGGAAACCAGCTGCTGCAACTCCGATGTTTCTCCTGATGATTCCATAATAAACCACAAGAAGTCAATTCCTAAACAAAGAATTTTATCAGGTTTGGCATTTCATCTTTTACTGATTAGAGGTTGAGTGGTAGTTTATAAAGAATAGCTTAATAACCTAGTACAACTAGGGACTTATTGATCTTCTTCCTTGTTGTGCGAACAACTGGCCAGCTCATGTAATGGATCTTTTAATTTTGTACATTTCTCAAATTGGGTAGACTGCAACGATGATTCGCTAATTCGCAAAACACTAAAGTATGACTTATTGTTGACAACTTGCTGACGGCGTAAATGAAGAAAACAGTATACCGATCACGGTTACAATTCTTATTTGGGAGTGGTGGATAACCCACTACGTGCAATGCATCATTTGTTCATGAAATGAAATTTACTACTTTGAAATTGAAATGACTTGGACGTGAAAAATAACAAAATCTGTTGAGGAACTGTTCAGTTACAGACACTGGGCTTTATTAATCGAAGGATCTAAACTGAAAAGTCGGTAGAGAGCGAGTCGCTTAGCTAAGTGGCCTAATATAGTGAAATTGACGAAGATTACTGTAATGTACAGTTAAATTTTTTAACTGCGGTGGACAACTGTCAGTGTACATCCTTTAGTTTTTTAGTTTTATTTGAAGGATTGGAAGTATAGGCATACAAACAAATATATGAGATGTTATTCTAAATACTCCAACTCTTTATTAATTAGAAAATATTACAAAACACTTCTTCTAGAGCTGATACCAAAGACAATGCTTTAAATATATTTAAGTTACAGTTGTTGGGAATACCATGAATGAGATACCTCTTTATCAACAATATTTGCGGGATTTAAAACAAACCGTAGAAGGACTGCTAGTCACCCAAGTTGCTAACGTGTGGTCAATTTATGGTGGTTTAAACAGACTTCATGGGTGCTTCGAAAATATTTTTAGACATGGATGTAAGCAGTCGAAGGAGGTAATTTTCATTTCCAACTAATAGATTAACATTAAATATTTTCATATTTTGCAGGAAGGTGGTTTTTATAATTTTATCCAAGGTTTAGAGTGGCTGCAGCCAGAAACATATAAATCTTACTTCAACATAGATTGTGAATACAAGGCACATATTCCGCAACATTTTAGGGATGACAAATGTCTTATCTGGCTATACCGAAGTCTAGAAACTCACTCTTTATCTCAAAGATTATCGTGGCTACTTTCTGATAATACACACTTATTAACCTGTTACCAGCCTACATCATATTTATGCCAAGAAAAATATGCTGAAGCAACTCTTATTTGCTTAAGAGCAGTTGAAAGAAACCAACCTAGTTTATTGTCAGAAATAAATCCATGCCTTTTCCTTTACAAAACAAGAACAAATGATTTTGTAAGGATTCATAGGCGTTGTTCATCATTTCCTGGTAATCAGATAAAAATTTTTGAACAAAAGACTAAAAACTCAGCTAAATCTTTAAGGGGTATTGTTGAAGGCAATAGATATAAACATCAAGAACACAAGATTGTCAAAATTCATGGTAAACTTAAGCCCTGGTCCAGTTTACCCTCATTGCTAGTTGATAATTTAAACATTAACGAGAGAAAGTTTATTGTGCAAAGTAGAACAACTCCTAATACTCCCATACATACAAAACGTATTTGTCCCAATTTTCTAAAAGTAGATTATGAAGCATTGCAGAAAGGTACTTTAAAGAGCAGTTTAAAGAGATGTAGCACCAGGCAGAAGCATGTTGGGGAAGTGATTATTCAAAATTGCGATATTGTTGAGCATGTGCCTTCACTCAGTAGCTCTCATAGTAGTGGAATTACAGTACAAAATGATGTTTTTCCTAGTTGTTCTACAGCTTCACCTAAAAGCTCGTATAATGTTTCTCAGTCTCCTTTGTCAATGGTTGAATATAGTTTTTTGCCTATGCCAGGTGAGAAAGACTTTCGGAAGAAACCTCACAAATCCTTTATAGAGGATGGAGGGATGAGTGTTCTCCCCATGGCTACCGGATACTTTCCAAAACCAACAAAAGGACAAACTCTAACATCATTCTTGACTTCAAGTCACTTTGCTAAAACTAATGCTGAATTGGACAAAGAAAATGCTCATTTCAATATATCAGAAGCCATAATTTCTGCCATGGAACAGCTGAAGTGCAAACGTGATCTGAAATTGGCTGATGAACAACTGGATGAGAGTGATCCAGAGATTTTGGATTTGAAACAAAGGATCAGGCTTAGAAGAAGACAGAAGATAGTAGAGAATCAGAGGAAACAGTGGTCTTCAAATTTCCTAAGTGATGGAAAAACTGATAGTAAGTTTCTTTCCTATTTACCAGTTTAAAACTAAAATAACAATTCAGTGTTTAATAATAAGTTAATGAAAAAGGATTCTTGCTTTATACAATTTAATTTTAGCTACTACTACAGTCAGCCCATGTTCAACACCGCCTGATTCCTCATCAGGGAAACTCAGTTCAGATGATATTGATGATCTGGAGATAGATCAGGCAAGCAATTTAGATGACAACCATGGTTTGTCTATGTCAATGGCTTCCCTTTATTCAGACGCAGACATTGCTAAAAAACCTAGAGGTGCTCCAGATGGCGCATCGGATATATTGTCAGCAGAAGGGGTTGCACTCTCCTTAATTAGTAAATTTAATGAGAAACATTTACCCAGGTAAGAGTTTATTTTTATCCATGCCTTAGGGATTTCACAAAATGTAGTTTTCTAGGGCATCAGATTTGGAGTGGTTAGTGTCTGAAGAAGACGCTCCCCAGGCTTTATTGCCTCTACCAAAAAGTTGGCCGGTCAGCCCAGATGATCCACAAGAAATTGCTATACCTCTAAGGGGGACAAAAGATTGGGCGCCTCCGCGTCCGCAAATTGTGTTGAGTCTGCATCCATCCCCCTCGTAAGCAGAGTTACTGTTTTCTTTAAGAATAAAAACTAAGTTGAAAATATAGACACTACTCGATAATCTAGTAATTCAAAGGAAATATTACATACTTTTGCAATTTTAGCAGAGGGAAATATTTATTCCAGTTGGTTCTCTTTTTAGAAGAAAATTGCTTATGGAGAAACAGTTCTACAGGTGCGCGGGGTGCGGCATGAGGGTAGCACAGCAGTATGCAATGAAATTTCGATATTGTGAATATCTCGGTAAATATTTTTGCACTGGCTGCCACAAAAACCAAGTTGCTTTAATTCCGGCTCGAGTTTTGCACAAATGGGATTTCAACAGGTGACACAACTTGTCCAGTAATAAATGTATTCCATTTAGTACATAGTTTATTGTAGATATCCCGTGTCAACTTTTTCTTATAAACTGCTGGAGCAAATGTATTTGGATCCCCTCTTCAGAGTGTTTGAGTTAAATAAGAATATAGGCAAGCTCTCCAAGAATCTAATTTTCATCCATAAGTATAGAGTAGGCCTTCTTTACCTTAAGGAATATATATTCAGCTGTCGATTTGCCGAAACGTGAGTTTGTTATTAAATAGTGGCGGTTTGTTTTGAACGGTTCACACTTAGGGTCCAAGAAACCATGGAACAAGAGCTTCCTGTTTATTTTTTGACAAAACCCGACGAGTACTCAATGGATGATCTTGTTAATATCAAAAATGGTAATATGAAAGCCAAGATGAAATATTTGGTGGGGATTTGCTGCAAGCATACCTCAGAGTGTAAGGTGCAGTAAAATACTATTGTTTAAAATTGCTTTTATGTTTAGTCAATTTTGTCTTTCAGCTGTGCTTAGCCAGAGGTTTTATCTGTGAAATCTGTAAAAGAGACGAGATTATTTTTCCGTGGCAAATGCGAATCGTTACTAGATGTGGCAAGTGCTTTTCTTGCTATCACACCAAATGTTGGAATAGTTCCAAACAATTGTGTGAGAAGTGCGAGAGGATAATGAAGCGTAAATATGATTCCGCCGAAGACAGTAAGATGTAAAGATTATTATTTTGACTATTATAAATGATATTCGAAAAATATGCTAGTTAATGTGACTGACTTTTTAACGTTGTTATCATAAAGGAGTAAATAAATAACTTTAGAGTAGCAACATTTTTGAAAAACGTCCTTTCCGGTTTATTAAAAAGAAATTTAAAAACTAATTAAATATTTGGGGATGGTTTGACCAGATTATAAGAAATTTTTTTTTGGAGATCTCGCCCATATTGACTGATTTAGCATTTGTACCCTACATCTTACAGATTTTCCGGAAAAATTGGAACTTGGTGAGATCTATTTTACATATTTTGCCTGATTACCTTATTTAATAGAGTACATATATTGTCCTCCATATTTGCTACATACTGGAAAACTTTTTATGTAACAAAAATGGCAAAAAAAAAGTTTCCAGCTTATGAACACTGAAAATTGTCTGGTATGTAGAGAACATTATGATGGTATATTGTATAAGGGGTTAAATTCATGTTTTATTTGAAAAACAAAAAATAAGTTATTAAAAATTTATTTATTCTCCACAAGGGTCTAACAAACATTTATACAAAAACATGCACTTAGCTAACTCACCATAGCACTGAAGCATCATTGAAAAACCAATCAATCTCCCACAATATTTATATTTATATACAACCTTTAATTACTGTTATACATTTAAAACTAATGCTTGTACTTTGCTGGTTGATGCAAACAGCAGGAAAAAACGGATCTTTGCCAAACAAGTACCTTCAAGCATTAATTTTAGACAATGAGATTCAATTTCAAACACCCATTTCACGTAGAGAAAATGTAAAATGAAAGACGCGAAAACAATATTCGATAACAAATTTACCTACACATTATAATAATAGGAGCAAAATACTCCATCAAGCAAAAATTTTATTGTGTGTATATTTTACAAGCTCTTAAACATATCATAGAAATAAATCGTCATTAGAAAAATTAATGTATATACTAAATTAACCGAAATTGGCTAAAAGAATGCGTCATCTTTTAGTAAAGGTGTTGTCGCTACTTCGAAGAATATCTTGTGGGAATACTTATTACGTACTGTCATCAACTGCTCTCTTGACGGCCTGTGCAATCCTTTGTTGAGCAACAGAATTGTGTCCTTGAAGTCTTCTAATTTATAACCTAGATAAATGTTTTTCAGTTTTGCAAATGTATTTGGAATTGTATTGCATATGTATTATAATAACTTTGTATAACACCTGTATTGTGTATTCACAGAAAAAAATATTCTTACCAGTGTAAAATTCAAGTGTAGGAGTCCAATTGGAAACTTTCTTCATTTTCAAGGCCATATATAAAGCTGCCGATGCCAGTATAGAGTCTTTAATCGAAATGGTGTCATAGTCCATCAATGAAAACTCCAGGATATATCTTGCCAGTGTCAGTATCGGCATTGTAATCCTCGCGCACTGAAAAAAAGAAAGAAAAAAAAACTACACATCAAACTAGTCAGTGCTATAACTTACTCTGGCAAATCTTCTTAGAAATCGATAGCTGATTGGTATTCCCAAGTTGAAATCGATAATTTTGAGCAGGTTGATCTCCATTCGAATCATTTCTCTCCGGGTATAAGCTCCGTCGCAGATGTATAAAAAGTCATCTATCATGGGCGGTATTCTCTCGTCAAACTTGCTAGCGATAAACATGGCTGCCGCGCCCACCAATTGAAGCATTTCTTTCGATACTGTCACTCTATCCAAGTACATGTCGACTAACTATAATAAAAAAAAACTTGCAATACTAAATCACAAACAATTGATGAAAATTCCAACGTTATCCTTAAAGTACAATATTTCAAAGGAAAACAAGAATTAATCCATGCGATTAATAGATATTTAAAATTCACAACTTTGATAATGTTGGGCCAACATAGGTGAGGACAATTTAAATATTTTTAAAAAATTTCTTGTGAATTGCTTATTTTACTAACGAGCGAGCTTTCCTGTAGTTATTAGATATTATGGTCCCTGATGCTTAAAGCCCCTTACGTGTATGTGCCTTAGAAAATTCCGAATAGACTATAGAATACAATAAAACAAATTTCACTCACTTTAACCCCCAGATACAGAGTCTCATGGTTCAACTCGAAGCTTTCTTGTATCTCAACCATCCAATCGACCAGTTGCGACCTCATCATTTTAGTTAGGCAGACTTGTCTTTCCATGTAATCCCCAATTGGAAACATTTTCTGACGAAACAAACGGTATAAAATAAAGCTTAAAAAAAGTAAAATTTAGTGCACTTACTTCCCTTTCTTTGTAGTAGTTGAAAATGTCCATGGCATAATGCGAAACTTGATAAATATCGTTCCAGTTTTCTTTGTCAAAATCCCTGATCCCGGGGGGAACATCGTGATTACCTAGGTTCAGTTTCGACTCTAATTGCTGAATGACCAAAGAAACATTTGAAGGACTGGGCTTTTGTTCGACAATGGTCGATGATTCGGACGATTTCGAAGACAGTCTCGTCGATTTTCTTGCACTGAAGTAGGTAGAATCATTACTAAAATTTACTGAGTTTATTTTCCCGGAAAAACGAACGATTTTTAACTAGAAATTATAACTGGAATTTGAACGGGTTCAACGAATAATTGTCGAGGCATGATTCTCAGCAATTTGAAAATTTTCACGATATTTTTTAGACAGGCTTCGTTGATTAAAATAAAAAAATAACATGGCAAAATTTTTATTTTGTCCAATAAAAATGAAAAATCTCGAAGTTTCGTTAGTTTGAGACCTCGTGGACATTAATTTGACTGTTCCCAAATGGTTCATAAATATGACTTTGGAGTCAACTACAATTAGACAAAACTTTGAGGAAATTTGGTAAAGCTAAAACTTCTAAAATCAGCAAATACCACTGACATTTAGTATGCAAAATGGAAAATCTTTAGCAATACCCCGACTCTTGTGAATTGCGGAGAATCTCCCATGAAGGCGCAAAGATAAAAGCAATACTAACGCGTCTTCCAAGGCGGTGCTGTAAAGCGATGGCTCAGATTCAGTCTTTTCGAACTCGTTGCTCAGTCTTTTTTTGGTTGCTGGGGGTAAATTGTTTTCTTTTTGCGTCTCCTTCGACTTGACTGCCGTTTGATTGGGAATGTGGTGAACCGTCTGTTTCAACGACGCCCGGGTAATAATTTTGTTGAGCGGGGCAGGGGGTGGGGCACCATTTTCCTTCTGTTTGTTATTTTTCACTACAGTTTTTACCGACGGCAACACTGACGATTGCACTGTGACTTTTTTTATACCTTTCCCTGTCTGCAATAAAACAGAAAGTGGTTCATCGAGTAAAAATTAAAGTCGAGGTGCAAATATATTACCGCAAAGTCTATTTTGTTGTTGGTTAATTCTCCTAACGCGGTTCTTTTGTTGCCATTTTCTTTGGTCGGTGAGCAGTCGGCCTTTCGTTTGCCGCGTAACGCCCTCTCCAAACCCTTGTTGCCGTTTATCTCCTTCAAGTGTGTAGCCGCCCTACTCCTGGTTGCGATTTTATTTACGTTGTTCGTGTACAATTTCGTCGTTTTGAGTGGTGCCATTCTTTTTTTGGAACAAGGGCAGCCGATGAATATAGTGAATTGTTATTAATCCAAAATCTGCAAAACAATTGAAACATGTGGCATGTGCCTAAGGGCATACCTTCCGCTTAGACGGACAAGAGATACTCCTCCCACAGAAGAGAGAGGTTGAGTGAAAAAGTAGCGCATGTAACTAGTGAGTACTTAATGCACTCTAAGTGAATATGTTAGTTTATTTTAACGCTTGGAGCTGTTTTTATTAGAATGATGTTAATTTAAATATCCTACTTTAAGATTTCAAATTTTCTGAATAGATACCTAACACATCACAAAGAAAATATGCTTTTTACAAAACTTCTTCAGTCTTCAGTCAGTCAGTCAAGCTCTGAAGAAGCCACCAGGATTATTGGCGAACCGTCAGCAATTTCGACTAAGCAAAAACCGACGCAGGAGGAATCCAGAAGATTTGTAAAAAGCAATTTTAAAAATTTCAACATTTCAACTTTAGTACAGTATTTATCTTATGGCGACTGGAGTTGTGATAATATATTGTGATAAATATGCACAGTTCGGTCAAAATCATATATTCAGAAGTTTTTTCGTTTTTCTCTTTAAATTAATTTATAAGGACATGTCTGGGTTTGTATGGACCCTTTTAATTATGGCTAAAATTGTTCTTGTGACATCGGTATTTCAGTCAGTTGTGATGTCTTAAAGTAGAAAATGGGCATTGACCAAAAATAAGTGAAGGCAAGCTAGTGGATATCAGCCAGTCGTCTTAAATTTGGTTTGGTAGATAGCATCATAGCTCTACCTACTTTATCTAAACTTATTTATTCTAATACGTAAATACATTCTAATAAATACAGAAACTAATGTTTCAACAATTATTTCTACAAACGTGATCATCAAACACAAGTTGCTTCCCTTCAAAAAGTAAAAAAGTGAGTGAAATAAAGTAGCTTTACCAACCAGGGGCAACAAGATCTGATAATTATGGTTAACTCGTTTCCTAATAGGTTGTTGCAACATCTCAAAAACTATTTGTGTGAACATATTAATTATAAAAAATGGTCAACATTTCCATAAAATTTAAATGAATTTATATTCAAGTGAGTGGAGATCCATAATAGTGTACAATGTTACGGCACTAAACTACAAGCTAACATTAAACAATTTATAAATTACCACTGCATGAGTTTTAAATATATTGAAAAATAATAAAGTGACATGTCATAGAAGTCTATTAACTTCCATTAAATAAGTTACTCACAGAAATGCTGCAAAATTATGCGTATTTTTACTTTCCACAGATTAAGTACACTACTAGTATTTCATAAATAATCAATAGTTTTGCCGCCTTTTTCTACACATGTTTCCTATTAAAAAAATCTAATTCAAAACCAAGGAACATTTAATTGCAAATAAGGCACTAATACCGCAATAAGTTATTTCGTATGCAATGTAACGAATATACAAAATACAAAAAAAAGCCACTGACCATTAAAAATGGAGACCATGTTCTAGGTTACTTTCTCACTAATCCTTAACTTTTTCTAATTAAGCAAATTGTTATTTTCAGCTCATTCTAATATAAAATTTGAATTACCTTTAGCCGTGTTTTTTGCACCAGTAAGAGCCAAATCTTGCAAAATTTTTGTAAAAGCACCACATGTAAAATTCGTTATGACAAGCCTTCAGCTTGATGTCCGTTTGATTTTCGTAATTCCGTTGTTTTCAGAACGTTGTATTGGTTCGATTTTCGAATCGAGAACGTGATTGGTGGATTACAAAAGGTGGGGACATATTTCTTTTCAAACCGTCTCTAGCGGAGGAAACGTTAAGTTGCAACAGATGTTTTACTGCCGTTTGTAAACAAACTGTCATGATTATAACCTCAATTTATTAAGCTAAAAGCTAGGTTAAATGTTTATAAGTAAATTTTAAGAAAAAAATGTTTGAACGCGTTTTAAAAGTGAAGTATCTCAGTTCAAAGACATGTTTTGTATATTTGTCAGGTCGTCTTATTAACATACATAGAGTGGTAAGGTTAAATAGACATTTTTGGCCTGTTTTAAGCTAACTAAATGCATGATTTTAGATTTATTTGAAACTGTCCTACTGTACAAAATCTGGCTATTTTTCAGTATGCACTTTAGACTCTCTTGATACAGACACAATAGGAATTAGCTCTCTTTATGCAAAAGCCTTAGGAATAAAAGAAAACGATTATATTACTGTGTCTCAGATTGAGCAACTTTCTGTAGTAAATGGTCTTAGCATAATACCAAAAAATAAAAGTGACTACGAGGTTTTGGTAGGAGTTATTACCTATTTGTTTGATATATTTTTAAGTATTTTCATTATTTAATAGGAGGTTTTTGCCCAAGATGTACAATCAAGTTTACTAGACCAAGTGAGGGTCGTTAATGAACAACAAAATCTAGTTATTTGGATAGGAAACAGTATTTCTGTCACGGTGGATGTGGGTATGGATGTTTTTTCGTTGTTTTATATTCATTTCGGTGACCTGAAGTTGAATGCTGTTCATTTTGTAGCATATTGAAAATAAAATTTTCTAGGCAATGTTCGACCAGTTTCCCCAGGAATTATTGATTTCTTAACAGAAGTTGAAATTAAATCTCCCAATGAAAAAAGGGATATTATTGGTATGTATTTTGTATAAAATGTGTAGTCATTTTAATCGCAAAGAAATGACATGATTTTTGAAAATTGTTTTTAGGTGACTTTTCTAGTCAGGTGGAGTCTAATTACTTGAAAAATCTAACTAAACCAACATTATCGTTTCAGAATAACTCTAATGCAGAAATAAATACTTTTAGGAAATTCTTTATATCAAAGAGTGAATTAGTGTATCGCATACTTCCTTTAAATGAGTGTCCTGGTTTAAAAAAAATTATTGATAGGTATCCCCCTTTTTGTGGGTTCGTTTCAAGAAAAGGATGCTATGGTGAATATTTTCACGCAAACACGACGCATTTCTACAAAATGAGGGTGTTAGCAAAGCAGAATGACAAAAATGTTTATATTAGACTTTACTTTCTGGAAGATATATTAGACGTTGACATAAATAATGAGAATATATTTGTACCCGATATAATTTTGGATGTGCTTGAGGTCAGTTTTTGTTCAAGAGTATCATTAAAAATGATTGATACAAAACCGTTTATTAAAGAGATTGAAATGCATTGCAAGAAGAATTATCTGCTAAATGTAGTAGAAAAATTAAAATTATTTTTGGCTGATAATTGTAAAGAGTCTCTGTTATTAAACTCTAACATTCCTATAAATATTGGCAGCGATATCCATTGTTTTTTAAAGTTTTTGCCAGATCCGGTAGATTTCTGTGTGGTAGATGAGGAATTTTTAAGAAATTGCTCTTTCTCATTGCATAGTGAAGAAGTGAAGCCATTAGAAAAGTTCGATATTAAATTAAAGCAGTCAGACTCATTTTACTGGAATGTTTCGCCGTTTTCGAATATTCTTTCTAAAGTTTTGCAAATTCTGACAAGCTGTAATGTATTCTTCCCTGAAAATTGCATTATCATAGGTAAGATTCCACAATAAATCTAAAAAAGTTCTAATAGCAAATACAAAATTTTAGGTAGACCTGGCATGGGCAAGAGTTCTTTTTTAACCCATTTAAGTGGTATTTTAATGAAATATCCCTATTTTGTGTATAACGAAACAATTTATTGTAAACAAATTAAAGGCAAAACTGTAGATTCTCTACAGAAATATTTTAGCGACTGTTTTGCAAAGCTTATACTGTGCCAACCATCTTTACTTGTTCTGGACGATTTCCACGTACTTTGCGAGGGTGCTAAGGGGGATGAGACTCCCAACACCCTGTACTGCAATAGGTCAGTATGGTTACTGAAATATATGTTTCTAATAAATAATAATAATTTTATCAAATCAACATTATTTCACTTGGGGTCAAATAATTTTTTTCTCAAATTGATTTAGAAAAGTATTGATTGTGAGTTAATTAAAAGATTAAACTTACTTATATATTTTTGTATTTTTATCAACAGTTTATTTAAAGTTATTCTAACTTTTGTTTTTCAAAAATAGTCACTGAACTGTCGGATTCTGGTAAGCTTTTTAATTTTGTCTTATTTTAGAGTTAGTGAAATATTATACAACATATTTTCTCAGTTTACTGCTCAAAATGCAATTGGCATCATAGCGAGTGTTGATTCAATATCCAACATAAATAGACATGTTTATAGATCCCGTGGGAACCACTTATTTAAAAACGTATTTAATCTAGATGAATTACATAAGGTACTAATTAAGAAGGTAAGGATTACTTAATTAATTATTTATTATTTAGGGCGATAGAGTAGCTCTTTTGAAATATTATTTCCTATCGCACAATGTGTCTGATGTTGACTTTAATGATTTGTCTGTGAGGACCGATGGGTTTGTTATACAAGATATTGCCGACCTATGCAGCAAAATTAGATTTGAAGCTTGCAAGGAAGGTATTTTCGACAATTTAGATCTAAATTAACATTTTTGGTTTGTATCTTTTTCTCGTCTAGGTTCTGTTAATCAACCACTCATCATAAAACAAATCCATTGCGATGAGGCATTGAAAAAGTCGTGCGCCCTGTCACTTCAAAATATTAAATTTAGTGCGAGCAAAGGTAAAACATTTGAAGATGTAGGAGGATTGCATGATATTAAGAATATCCTGATAGAAAATTTTTTGTGGCCTATACAAGTAAGTGTAATACTTTTATAAAAAATAAACTTTCTTATAAAGTTGTTCAGACTCTATATATTCTAGCATGTGGAAGTGATTAGCCTAATGATGGTTTTTCTAGTATCCAACGCTTTTTTCGGGAGCACCACTTAGGTTGCCATCAGGGATGCTTTTATATGGACCTCCTGGTAGCGGAAAAACACTTGTGGCCAGTGCAGCCGCCAATCAGTGTAGTTTGAGATTAATTTCCGTCAAAGGTCCGGAATTGCTAAGTAAATATATAGGTGCCAGTGAACAATCAGTAAGGGATGTGTTTGAAAAGTAACATATAAATTTATTAGTTATTTGGGATTTTGTAAAAAAATAACCATTTTAGAGCACAGAGGGCTAGACCTTGTATTGTTTTCTTCGACGAATTTGAAAGTTTGGCCCCAAGGTAAGAAATGGTCAAAACAGGCGCATATTTTTAAAAAGAACATATGCTTTCAGACGAGGACATGATAATACAGGGGTCACAGATAGAGTGGTCAATCAACTTCTAACACATTTGGACGGAATCGAGTCTCTGATAGGAGTCTGTGTATTGGCTGCAACCTCGAGACCAGATCTTTTGGATCCAGCCTTACTTAGACCTGGAAGGTTGGATAAGCAGCTCTTGTGTCCCATGCCAGATAAGGTAAGTCAAAAAGTGAATTTGAAGTGATTTTATTAGACAAGGTTTTATTTTATTTGAATTGTTGCAGGAGAGTCGCAAAGAGATTCTCAGTGTCCTTTCTCGGGGTCTCGATCTTGACAATGATGTTAATTTTGATCAAATTGCGTCACTCACAGACGATTATTCTGGTGCCGACCTTCAATCATTATTGTATAGTGCGCAGCTTGATTGCTTTAAGGAGGATGTGAGTTTTTCTTTTCTGAACATTATCAATTAGTAGTAGCTGGGAATTGGAGCGATGTTTTTTCGAGAGCAAAAAATAATTTTGATTTTTTTATTTAAAATTAAATGAGGAATTACGAAATATATTTTCTTTTTGCTGAATTAGGTAGGGATATTCATTTTCCGCTTTTTATACTGGTCAAAATAAACGCCATATTATATTTTTAAAAACTTTTACAGCTATTGAACTGGGATTTAATTTGTCAAAAAAGAAAAGGCCCAAATAAGGATCTCCATCTACACTAGATAGAAAATTGATGCAAATTTTACAATAGAAAAAGCCTACTGGTAATGGTGATTGTTGCCTTTACATATTATTTGATTATCAAAGAATATTTTCATTAAATATTTGTAAAAAATACAATTTATAATAATCTAACTTCTCAAGAGCCACCCCCTTCCCCCTCATTCAAATGTTAGAAATGTAAAAATCAAAGTATTTTCTGACGTTTTAAAAAATATATTGATCAGAAATTCTGTTTTAAAATACACACATATTTTCCTAACTAGGTACATTTAACCAATATTTTTTATTTCTATGGTTCCAACTCTTTATCTCACTCTCAAACAAATAACCCAGAACATGTTTTCATTAAATATTTCCTGTTAACTTTGATGACTACCCTGCAAGAACCTATTTATTCTTTTTCTCTGGTACATGGTACATGGTTATGGTACAAAATTAACTAACAATATCGTTTATGTGTGTTGTTACGGCACTAACAAGTAGTAAAACTCTTAGGTAGTTATTAGATTATGGATAAACGAGATAATTATGCAGGTGTACATTTTACAATGTTACCCGATGTAATTTTCTCATTTATGCATTCCAAATATCATTAAAAGATTTCTCAAATTCTCTAACAAATTAACAGTGATAGCAATAAATATAGTAACAAAAATATCAAATAAGAGTATGGGATACACTAAATTACAAGAATCAAAAATAGTAATAAATAGAATGGCACTTTTGCGGATACGCTTGACCTGATTGGCTTAGTTTGGTTAATTTAAATCTACCAACAAATAAAATTAAACGATTTTGATTACGTTATTTAAAAATATACAATTTAATTAAATCTTAGTTAATGACAGGAGAGTTTTAATACGCATAAATAGATTTACAATTACTGTTAAGGTGTCAGTGAATTAGTAAAGACTCTCTGATGGCGTGAAATGTTGTGCTGTAAAAGTGATTTAATATCAGATATTCTGTTCTCCACTTCTTTAAACGGGTCGATTCCATAATCACATACTGCTTATTAATTTCTTTATTTTGTCAAAAGCAGTTTTTGTAGTGTCACGACCACAGCTTATTTCTGTATCATCCTCCTTCAATTTTCGCAAGAGCATAGGTTGGATAAGAATGCCTAATTAAGCAAAAATAATTAAAATGTTCCATTAAAATGAACTGAATGAATGAAATGCACACAAGGTTATAAACTAAAAATTTTCCAATACAATAGTGACGAACGCATGTTGAAATGTGAACAATTCATAATGGCAGAGTTATTGGACAAATCTCAAACTAACGAAAGTCGGTCGTCACCGCACAAAAAGTGTGGGTCTGTTTATCGTAAGTAAAAGACGGAAATATTTCGTAAGGTAAGGCAAAGAGGCAATCATAAAGGCCACAAACGTTTGGTGGTTGAAGTATACTTTTTTTCAGTCCAAATTAGTTCTGGAACATATAACCTTTTACTTTACTTCATAATTATTAAAACTAAATCCGTATTGATTCGTTTTGCTCGATATCAGATGCTATAAGCCATACTATAATACTAGTATAGTATTATAGTATATACTATAAGCCACTTGGTAAATACGTTGTATTATAAGCCAGAACCAAAAATAAACGAGCAACAGACGTGTGAAAAATTAATTAACAAACCTTGCGTCTTTGTTGCCGTTCCCTAATTTTAACGTAACCATTGTTCAAACTGGAGCCGGCAAAAGGTACCAACAATCGCAATAGTAGTCATTACAAATACAAAAGCGACAAATTAATATAAGTATTCAGCTCGTGGAAGACCAAAAGTGGTTACACTAACGAACGTAGAAACTGAAAATTGAAATAAACGACGGATTCATAAATTGCTTCAAAGCAATTTGCGAAGCGCTTTGATTTTAAAGGTCTAAAAGCAAATTGATTTCTTGCGGTTGCCGGCCCCAATTATTCTTTAATTCTCGCGCCTGGCTTATATAAGGTATATTTAATATAAATTGTTATGGGTATAGCTACGAGACGATATCGACACCTTGTTTTATTTTTCCTCTTTAGTTTTGATAATTCGGGAATTTTTATATCAAGCAAATTGAAATTAGTTTTCATTTAATTAACTGCTACGGTTATATTCTCCGCGTATTTTGGTGACAATCTCACTGGGTAAATGGCCAGAAAAAACTCATATGTAGCTCCGGTGTCGTACTTCGCTGCGATCGGGACTAGTACGCCTCACGTAGAGACCAACGTGAGAGCATTTTCCTCGTGCCAAAATTAAAATCTCGATTGCCGTCAAGTATTGCGAAATTGTGCCAGTCAACAGCCAGAGCTGTATCAAGATGCCAAGAAGAAAAGAGATTGTCAATTTCCTTCGCGTTACATCAATATCTTATTATTTATGCCACTGAACAATGTTGTGAAATATTTCAGTGAAAATTTTATTGATTGCTGTATTGCTGCACAATGCAAGACGCAATCTTAATAGTATTCTAAGTTTTGTAACTGTCTCTTTATAAATAATCTCCAATGATGTTGCTTTTAAGAACATTTAAGTACTATGGGCATCTGGTGCCGTGTGTTTTATTAATAGGGGAATGAGAACATAGTGGTCGTATACACATCCAACCTTCATTAAAATTGTTAGAAAAATTAACTTTGTTCTAAAAAACTTTTATTTTAGGGGTTCTGTCCTTTGTAGTGCTGTTTTTGTAGCTCAAAGTAACTCGAATGACCGCAAAAAATGATTCAAAAATCTTATCTCTAAAAAATTGAAGTAAATTTTAGTTAGTTTGTTTTGGTTTTAGGGTAGTAGTATACTTTTGACATCGCCAATTTCTCAAAATTCGTTGCTCGAGGCGCTGAAGCGTACTAGACCTTCCCTTACTAGAAACGAAAGGTTAAAATATGAAAAAATGTAAGTACGATAGGCAATAATTATTATTAAAATTTCCTATAAATGTGAGAAAACGAATAAATAAACAACTCAATTGCTATGCTGTTCTTATTGAAATTTTTTTAGATACGCCAAATTTCGTGGAGAATTAAGAGAAGATCTTCCATCAGGGTTCAAAGTGACATTAGCTTAACAGTGCGGATCCATATTGGAATTGTTTTTATAAAAACTTTCTGCAGCGTTCATATGTATGAACAACAAAGTATTCCAGTAATATGTATATATACATGAAACCAATTGCCTTCTATTTCTAAGTTATTGTAACTTGAAACTATTTTTCTTACTATTTTCTTTGTTTACTGTCTTACTAGCACCAGGAATATTAAGTCTTGAATAACGATTTTTATATTTCTTCTGTTATCGCTTACTAGTGGCTTCCAACTTGGTATAAAGGAATATTTCTGTAAAGTTTTTGAATAATTTAATACATACGATATTTGCAAGGCATTGTTGTGATTTGTTATGGTTGTGTTTTGTTGTTACCAGGTTAAAAATAAATTGTAAATTTATTTTATTTATTCTGTAAATTTTAATTGTTCGTTTGTATATAACATTATTTGGGTATCCTTTAATTCCTTGTCATTTTGGTGGATGCCCACATTTTTAACATGCTTGGTTTATCCGTATGGTTTAGCAAAAGCGTTTAGGGTCAATTTTAGGAATTTTCCATTATCAACGGTGGGACCAGCGCAATTAAGGGATACAAATATTCAAAGTTCATAATTAAGCCTCATTCAAACAACTTCCCAAAGTTTTTAAAATCGCGTCGTACAAAAAGCGTTCCTTTCTCGTTGGCGGACGGTCCTTAATAAAAGGCGTTGCGTTGCGAGCGACGGGAATTAGCTCCGTATTGAGAATTGAGGCGGTTTGAACAACTTCATCATAAAACTGCCGTTTATCATTTTTTCGGAGCGAAAATATTTAACCTAATTGTATCGTTAGAGCAGCAACTCCAAAAATGTTTTTCCGTTTTTGCGGCTGGCCCTCTCTTTAGATCTTATAATCCTACGTAAGATTGCTAAATTGTTATATGAAATGTTCAACTTAAAAACGACTGAAAATATTTAATAAATATTCGTAAGTAGTAGGTGGTCGTAAATGGGTTTTTAAGTAGTCATCTTTAGTTTTAATGTATATATCAGTGTGGTAAGTTATGAAAATGCTGGTTTTATCTATAATCTGCTCGAAAACCAATTATTTGTCCCAGAAAAGGAGGATTTAAGTAAATAATTGCTTTTCTAAGGTAGATTTCGCTACAATACGACTCGAAAAAGCTGATTTTGACTGGGATCTGTAAATTTTTTGGAAAAATTACGACCAAACCCCATGAAAATTTTGGATCGAAGTCGATATTAACCGATCCGTCTGAAATTTGGCACGAAGATAGGGAGTCGAGAGATTATTAAAAAAAAAGTCGGTTGTTTAATTAGTTCTTCCGGGGGACAAAGTATTGGCAAAAAAAAAAACAGATTTTTTTGATAGAATGTTTCATATTTCGGTTATTTATAATTTTAAGAATTTGAAATTTATACGTTATATACTTTAATCTTTTCTATATTTAATGATACCAAAAGATCTTATATAAGTTGTATCGTTTTTTGTCGGGAACGGTTTTTGTCGGAGACTGCAATTTTTTAAAAATTATATTAATTATTATTTACAATTAAATTGTGTGAGCTGGGGAGGACTTTAGAATTTTGATTTATAGACCTGATTGACCTTAATCTTCAGTAAAAAGTTCAATCTTTTCGAAGCAACGTAGGTGTTTTAAAGAAATGAAAGCCAGAATTTTTGAGGAGTATCATAATATCCATGAATATTATAGTTTGAGAATATTAACTAATGATGGAGAAGGTTGGAGGCTTGTAAAAATTTTCATGGTGATTTTTGTATTTAATGTTTTCACAAATTTTACAGGGAGTTCAGTTTATTTTGTTCTATATTAAAAAATGTGGTAGGTGTCCTAAATTTGAACTTATCGACTTAGAAGTGGGGTGCAATCAAACATAGCAAAGTATTTCTTAAAAAATGTTGAAAAAATTTTTTGGTTTATTTTGGCTTCCACAAAAATATTATTTTCTCCAAAACGATTAACCCGAAAAATTCTTGAATAGGGAAACGCGGCAGATCTGGGACTAAATCTTTTATTTTAGGCATTTTTTCGATTATCTACAGGGTTTTTCAATTATGGACAAAAATTTAAAAGACCATGAAAATTTTTCTTTTTGCAATTAAATTATTAGCCGTAAATCAAAATTCGTCAAAAATAGAGGCTTTTGATTTAAACAATGTTATAGCCCACATCGAGAATTACAATTTTTGTATTTACGGTTTTCTTCTATCACACACGCTGCTCGAGATATTTGAAAAAAATCGATGGTGAAATCGCGCTCAATTTAGACGCGATGACGTCACTTACTATTACGACGTACGGTGTGCGCATTGTTTCAAATAAATATTATTCTCTCGAAAACCATTTGCACCATTTGAACACACTGGTAAACAATAAACACATTAAAAAACAAGAAACATTTGCCCTTTATAGTCGTTATTTGTATTTTACTTTAACTAATTCAACACCAAATTAAAAGTTCATACAAATGGAGGAATCTTTTATCGCCGTTAAAGCAAACTTTAACTTTAACAAACCACAAATTCTATAGGGCACATTTTAGATTTCGTTTTGAGCCACCCTGTACATTTTCCTCCAACTTGAGGATGAAACTACCCGTATTTCTCAACATTTTGACGGTCGCTGGCGTTATTTCGTTTGAAAGTAGCAACCTAATGAAAAGTGTATTTTTCCGCCATCACAAAACTTTTTTGTAAATTTTCTTTCTAATTTTCTCAGACTTACTTTTCGGCATAATTGAATTTTCTTTGCAAAACTTCGTAAGCGTTTATACTTCTTGTATTCATTTGGAGCCTTTTCAAAGCCTTTTCGAGACAGTTTGGCGTTGTACATAGGATTTTAACAAATTTATTGCAGTTGAGGTGTAACATTTGTCGATTTTCGTTTACTTCTGGATATCTTCAAAAGTCAGAATACCTATTGCAAATTTCATCTAATTTCATTTTACTGCACAACTTTGCTCCCGTTTGATAGGATAAGAATTTCGGATACCCGCTTACTAAAATACACAACTGCAAAATTTGCAGTCGCAATTTTAAACAATCTCTCTAAATGTACTTAATGAGCTGGTTGATAGATAGGTGATGGTAGTACTGTATAAAGAATACTTCTCTAAAAAACAGCGACGGTGAGACAATTTACAAATATCGAAAGTCCAAATGAAAATGAAAGCAAAAACTAATCGGACAAAGCTGCAGCCAACAAAGTCTGTGATGAATTATCAGAGTTGTGTTGGTTTTCGGCAGATCCTTATAGCCATTACACTTGACGGCTCTATTTCACTTAGGCTTTATTCGATTACGCGCTTTCACATGCTTTCTTTCGATTACAAAGGTGTGTTTTATAAATAAATACTTTGGACCACTTTTCATTCGTTAGACGGTATGTTCGTATCAATTGTCGGTTCAGCGAGGAATATATACAGAGTGGGAAAATTGTTTGCTTGATATCCTTCAGGTCCCAATTTAAAAACTTTTAATACTTTGAGTGCCTCTGAATTTTTTACTTAAAACATTGCATTATTTATAAAACGATGGGTTCTTTACGCTTTTGGGCGCTTAGTATTTGTTTTCTATCATACCCTTCTGCACCTTTCAAAGGGTTTCTGCTGTTATGCAGTATTAACAAAGACTTACAAATTCTGATATTCCGTAGTAGCCTTATTAGAAATGATCAGACAAGAAATGATATTTTATTCGGATTATATGCTAACGAAGAGAAAAAATGCAAATCTATTGGCAATACCTTGAAGTGAGCTCCCCATGTTGAGTTTTAATGTTAAAGATCGTAATCGGAAAAAGTTCATATTTGAGCTTCTAGAATAAATGTATAAATGTGTTTGAGTTTTTCATTTAATATTTGTTATACAATGTATAGGGATGGAGCCAAAAGTCAAATACAAAAGTTAAGGGGGATATTACAAACCTTCAATTTATTTTAATGTTCTATATACAGGGTGTTTCATTTTTCATGGGTATGTATCAACTTTCTTATTTTAAATAGAACGCCTCATTTTTGAATTCTATACAAAATTCTAGATATGTTTTGTGTATAATGTTCTATTACTAAGTCTAACCGTTTGTAACTTATTTTAATTTTTTATGTGGAAAATGACGTTTGCAAGGCGTAAAATATCTTCCAATTTCTACATTCGGAACCATTTATTGTTTCACTTGAGTAAATTTGGTTGTAGACAAAGGACTCGAATATTGGATTTTATAGGAAATTTCGAAACATAATAATACAGGATACGTGGAAAAAAATATTAAGAATGAAATAAAAAAAATTGCCAAAAACTTTTTTTCTTTAAGGGAAACTACCTATTTTTATAATCTTGTCATATTTAGCATCAAAAATGAAGGTAATTTTATATAAGGTTTTAAGGTCTATTTAAAGTATTTACTTTTTGAAATATTTCCTTTTAAACATTTTTCTCTCACAATTAATATGCTGTTGCCGTATAAGTTCAGTTAGTGTCAGGCGGCTATGACGTGCTAAAGTTCTGCCACTATGATTTACCATTTCATAGACATAATCTTGCCGATGCACTTATGAAGTTCCAAAGATTATGTATGCATTAATTATATAGAATAAAACCAAGGATAAGTGATAACGGTGATTTTTTTGTTAATAAACGATCATTAAAAAATTAATAGCTTACAAAGGATAATAATTATTTTAGCAATTGTTCAATATGTCCTCCCTTTTGAGCAATACAAGCAGTATAAAGGGTTCTTCAATACATAATGGCATTTCTAACAGCTTCAGTCCCATTTAAATATCCGATATCTTCTCTTATCCGACGTCCGACTAAATCTTTAAATCTTTAAAAATCATATGGGAACAGCATATAATGAAGAAAGAAGAATGAAGAAATTGGCAGATATTTTGTCTTGCAAACGTCAATGGTCGCATAAAAAATTAAAAATGTCAAAAACGGTTACTCTTAGGTATAGGACATCATACACAAAATATGTCTCAAATTTTGTATAGAATTAAAAAATGAAGTAGTATACCAGGTGTTCCATTTAAAATAAGAAAGTTGAGACTCGCCCACAAAAATGAAATACCTTGTATATACAAAATTAAAATAAATCAACGGTTTGTAGTACCCCAATTAACTTGTGTATTTAACTTTTGGCTCCATCCCCTATAGTTTCTGAGATATGGTTGTGTTCCAAGATAAACGGCGCATCATGTACATATTATTTCATTTGTGATTGTGTTTATCTTTTATGCTTGACCTGGTACAATATTGACTATATTTCACCGAAATGTAGTCAATAAAAATATTTATTTGTCTATCTAATAAAGCCTTGAAATAATAAAAAATCAGAACATCGACAAGAAATGTTTATTATCATAAACAATAATATTAAGCATAAATAAAATTTTGTTTTATAAAATTCCGAAAAATATATACAAATTTCAGCAAATCCAAAGAGTCAACGTGTCATTTTATACTTCTTTGCAATCGATATCGATTTTGTAAGGCGAATTTTATTTAGATCCAAACAGGTATGGTTTGATCATAGATAGAAGAAAGTGACAAATTGCTTTTGAAGGGTGGTCATTAACATACAATGCAACAAGATTATTACCTAAAGTTTCTTAATTTAAATTTAGGTAAAATTGTGGTCCGTAATAGAAAATAATTTTATATCTACATGTGTTTAATATTCTTTGGTTTAGTATACTACTTAGTTTAAGTTTATTAGTAATCGTTCTTATTCTGTGTGTAATACAGCGTGTTTTGAATCGTGTGCGAATTATGCAAAATACGTGCGGGTCTAGTGTATCTCAGGAGATGCTCCCGCCCAAATGTAGATAACACTATTCTATTGAGACTAAGGAAGTTATGAACAATGTTTATTTGACTCTCATTGAACGTGGTGCTGGGAAGCAATCATCTTTGGAAGAAAATTCCAACATCAACTGTATGGAAAATTGTGAACAATCCCATTTCAGCGAGGAAAAAAAAAGCGATACTGACATTTTCTCGAGTGTAGATGAAAGTGATCAAGATATAATACGGCGTAAAATTTACCAGTTATACGAGGAACAAAGCGTGCCTACATTAGATATCTTAATTAGGAGGCTTGAAAAAGATGAAACCGTTGTTAAATGTGGCAGAACTACTTTATGGAAGTGTATTGAACACATGGATTTTAGATTTAAAAAAATTGACAAAAGGCAAGTTTTAATGGAACAAAGGCCAATTATTTACTTCAATAAAACCTGGTTCGACACTTATGATACCCCGGAAGAGGGTTGGGTAGACTCAATTGATAAGTGTAAAACAAACGCGCCATCAAGAAGAGGTAAAAGAACAACCAACTATTTTGCATGCTGGCTCTAAAGATGGCTGGATTCCAAATGGACTTTCTCGGTCTGCGAAAAATTTTAAAGATTCTTCTCTGGATTACCATGAAGACACCACTGCTGATTTATTTGAAAGTTGGTTTAATAACAAACTAGTTCCAAACATTCCGAATAGCGTAATTGTAATGGACAATGCAAGTTATCATAGTAGACTGTTGACTAAAAC